TGGTCACGGCACCAAATGAAAGGAAGAAGGTTTTCGCTGCGGAGTTATTTATTCGGAAATGCCAACTGACCGGTTACAGATCATCGAACAAGGAAGCAAAACTCTAATCTGCATCTTAGTTACAAAACCTGAACACAGATCCTCTCCCGAACGAATCTTCCTGGAGATTCATTGCCTCCAATCATTTGTCGGTCAAATAAAAGCAAATGTTACAAAGTGGCCCCGCGAATTCCGCAACAGAATTCCATTTTCCATTCGACGCAAAGCGAAATTCTACGAACAACACGTACCACTCACGTGCCTCCCGATCAGTAGTATCACCTTTACACCAGGTTTGCAAGGTGGCTTGTCGGCTATTAGTCATAATTTCGGCTTGTGCTATCAGGTAAATCCACCAAACGCTCTACGTCCGTCAGTGCACCTTACGTACGGACCACAAGCCGTCTCCTAATATGCTTTCGTGGAATAAAAGGATTCTGGCGCATAACGAAAACAGCCTCGAGCGATAGACTACTCTGCTCCTGGGATGTGATATGAAGAATAAGCGCTGGTCCCCAACAGGTCGAGGCTCAATAATTCGAGCGAGTCACAGCCAGGATCCACTGAGATACCCACCAAGATCTTGTGCTGCAGCAGGTCATCAATTGCCACCACAGTCAATTGCTGTATACTTGCCTGCAGAATGATTTTGGACAACTTCAACAGACAGGACTCATCATCTTTAGCCGACGGATGACGCATAGTTCCAAAACGCGATATCATTTCGAATGTGTAAAAGCCGGTCTGATTGCATCAGATTCCCAAAGGGCCTTCGGGAACAAAGAACTCTAACCTTTGCCCGGAGTCATGTCCAGTGAGCTCTGCTAACATCCCGGATCGAGCAGGTCCCCACTTGTTACCCACAGCTAAATCACCCGAAAAAATCAATTGATGCTTCGGCCGAAGCTGACAGAATCCTGTTTTGGGCATCAAGTCACCAACAGTATTGTAGTTCATGGCTGAATGTTTTTGGTCGCCAGGCGGCCAGCAATTCTTTCCTTGTACAGTCTTCCAACTGCTACCATAATCCTGTAGCATGACTATGGTTCAGTCGCTTTTGTACTCAATAGATCATTATGTCCGAATATGATGATCATATATATGGCGGCGTTTGCAGAATCTTACAGGAAGCATTCTGTAACCAAGTACGCCCACTACCATGTCGTCAGCAGCGGTATCAAAGCTGCGTTGACATCATTAAGCGTGATCATCGACTACACCAGCCAGAGTATGTACTTTGTATGGCTGAAATTCATTTACCTCGTAGGAACCTTCTATAATCCAGCCATATGTCAGGTGGCGACCCATAAGCTACAGCCTATAAGCCGGAAAAGTAACATGAAAATCCCCAGCAATTAACTGAGCCACGATAGCATAATAACAGTGGGTTCATCTCTCAACTTGCGTGAAACACTCCAACTGAGGCATGATCGGGTCGGTAACTGAACGCGACATGCAACAACGCAAAGAGGTCGGAGGAACAACAAATCAAACGTGTTTATTACGGGAAAATTCATGGAAGCTCTGAGAATGTGTGCGTACAGTGGGTTTTGGGTGCAACAAATTCGATAATGAGGCAGGTTGACATGAACTAAAACTGGAAATCATTGCGTTTGAGTTGATGGCCGGTTTCACAAAAAGCAAAAATTGGGATGGAGATGGAAGAATGTGATGGGGAGATCGTGGCATTGCATACGAAAAAAACACACCTTAAAGGACATTAAACTTGTGGAAGTGGCAAACCGAAATTGCAATGGAAAAGCAAGTAAATCAAATCCGAACAAAAGGGTCAGTGGGTTAAGGCCGGGTGAAAAATACGTTCGCCGTTGCAATCACAGGCTCAAATATGCGACAGGTGAAGGTAGACGGTAGGGAGAGAACAGTTATGGGAATGCCGTCGGACTGCGAATGGCAGTGCCATGCCATCATAGCACCGACACACTTCGGTCTCGGGAAGTCTCGTCAAGGTTACCGCAATGAGATGGGGAATCCGCATTTCCGTGTCAGCCTGATGCGTATCAGACGAGGAGACTGACACATGTGGGGCCGGATATGCTGTAAACTAACAAGGAATAAGTTTGCTGGGCACGAAAACTTGGGTTTGGATGTAAGGAGACGGGGGTCTGAAAGAAGTTACGATGGTAGGCGCTAGACACCCTCTACAGCACACCCAAGCTCCAGAGAGAAGGTGCAGATATGGTGTCCGGAATCGGAACATCTGCCGATCAAATTTGCGCAGAGCGGGCTTTTATCCCCCTCTTGATGAGAAAGAACAGCTATATACGTGCTGTGCAGATCGCTGCAAAGCGTTTTTGGATGGTTGCAGATCTTTCCGCTAAATGGCAAAAACTTATCGGCCGTTTTCACGCCATCAACTTGGATAAGGCAAACTCTGGCGTGGACACTTTTGCTAAAACAAGGAAAGATGGTCTCGGCGTGTTTTCGCAAGAGACTGTAAAAATCGAACGTCCTTTTTCCAAGCTCCAATAGCGTGATTTCTGTTTGGGATGACGCATATACGGTGCGCTTGCTGCAACATTTCTCGCCACCATCCAACGGCTATTCAGCGATTGTCGAGCATTGAGAATTCTTTGCATGGCGGGCCAGACCTACGGCGATGTCCCCATATATGAGCTATCCTAGATAAGACTCAGATTACAGGCGAGTCGATTACTGATTCATGAAAGTGTCGGAATTGCTATCCAAAGCGCCGCCATGGCCTAAATTAACCACGTTGAGGCGGATACTTACGAATGCGTATGTTGGGTTGCGGATCCATTCGTTCCGTTCACGCAGCAATGAAATTATTACCGTGTAGCTTGTCGTGTTCGGCCGCAAAGACTCCCCCAACAAAACAAGTTGTGGACGCCGGCAGTGCTCCTAATCATCCATAGTTTGAACAAAATCTTTTGCAACTTTGCTTACTGGAACATGGCTTGTTTCAAGCCACTAACAGATGGGACCGTAATCCTCGTCATTTTGCTGAAAGCACTAACAGATGGGACCGTAATCCTCGTCAGACAACCGAAGCCAACCACCTCGAGCAGCAGATTGGACCATCTCACAACTTTCAAAGGCTTGAAATTCGTTGCACTTTGTAATCAAAAGTGGAACAGTGCACCATACGTACTGTTCCTGTTAGCTAAGACTCAGCTCTCGGCTGCACACCGAGACTCCAGTGATACTACCCTATCATCCGCAAAAGGAACGTAGCACTGCCTACCATCTTCAGAGTTAACGTCGTTGTAAGATCCGGGTGGTTATGGATCTCACAGGACGATTGCGGCCATTAGATTATACGCAGTTCGTAGCCAGTAGTCAATAGGAGCAGATGGACATGGGACGACAGATGATATACTGAGGACTGACAGGAACTGGTTCTACAGACAAGCGGATTAGTGAGCATCATGAATTAGGCAAACGTAAGTCAACAATGACGCGGTCAGTGAGAGCAGGAAAGAGTCGCTGACGCAGCACGGATTTCTAGAAGCAACAGAAAGTAAGCACCAAACGATGTACGAACATACATATAGGCCAATCTACAGTGTGAGTTAGCCGTATAGAGAAATAACGGCACAGAAATTCACCATGTTTGGGATGTGAGGAACGGTCTTTCGGTCAGCGGGGCGACGCGGCTGCTCGTTTCATGTGACAAATCAGATTACGCAGTTTCGTCTGTTTAAAACAATCTCGCCAAAGGCTATCTGACAGGTGCGGTACATGGGCATTACAGAATGATAGATCGTCTTGGGCTCCAGATTGGTGTAGGCGATGGCGCTTTCGCCTGAAGTCCAGTGATTCCGGGTTCGATACCCAGTCGGTCCGATTTTCCGTCGGAGGGGACGCTCGAAAATAGGTCTTGGGCGCCAGATTGGTGTAGGCGATGGCGCGTTCGCCTGACGTCCAGTGATTCCGGGTTCGATCCCCAGTCGGTCCGCTTTTCCGTCGGAGGGGACGCTCGAAAATAGGTGTAATCGAGACGAACTTGCAAGCAATGACGGGCGGGTAAAAAATACTGACACTAGTTACTGAGGGTCAAGCAGACCTTAAGTAGGAACAAACCAGGGAGAAAACAAGCAGAGAGGAAAAAAACGGCGTCATAATAAACAGGTGTAAGTCACGTTACTTATGAGTAGTCAGATAACAAGGGAAATTACCGTTGGTCACCGTTGATTCGCAGGGGGAATCAACAGTCGTCTCACTTACAGACGCAAGCTAGGCACCCGTAATTGCGGTTTTCAAGGCGGAAAGATCCTCGTCTGGTTGTCCTGGCAGGAAAACCAAGGGAATCTGTCGAGACTGTCGAAACGTCAGCCTCACCTCTAACCCTTTCCGCACGATACTAACGTCGTTCCACTACCCATTCCTGCCGAGGGCTACTTTTTATTAGTGCTCTTATCCGGATTCGTTTGATTATCAATCAGAAACCATGTTCGATTTCGTACTTGCTCCCGCTGCTCCAGCTTACATGATGGTCAACTTAGATGCATCAAACAACGCTTCACCTGTGGTTATCCAATACCCATAATAATTATAAAATGCGCTGTTTTGGACCCCTGATTCACGTTCTTAAGGTAAGGTTGGCGCAGCACCCCGGGTTTAGCTCTCCAAAATCTGAGCGTTTTACAGCATTCCAACGATGGCCTTTAGTATGTTGAAGTCTTTGTTCTGTGTTGGCTTGTTTTAGACATGCCTCGGAAATCATGTATAATAACCGTACGTCATATGTTGCATATCAGTTAGCAGCGTGATTTTTTCTTACGAAGGTCGTCCATCTCCCGAACCCTCTAGACGTTTTAGGTCAGGAGACTGTGCAAACAAATACGCGCTATTCTGGCGTCCGTAGATCAGCCGGAACCCCAAGCAACCACCTAGGGTATGGATAGATGAGTTGGTAGCGGATTGTCTCAGACGGTTGGTTAATTTTAGGCAAAGAAGTTCGGTGATATATCCAAAACTAAAGGCATGCGCTCACTACTGCTTATGTGGCATGCGTACAGCTCAGGTGTGGACTTGCAATTCATATGGAACACACCTCCTGCAGTGCAGAAATGTCAGGCCTACCCAAACTGACATTCTCATGCTGGGATTGGGAGAATAGGGCGCAATAGAAGAAGACCATGAATCAGCCACTCAGCTCAGCACCATGAAGATCACAGTGGGGTGTATTAAATGAAAAATGTAGTGAAACGCTCGATATAGTGTTCAACTCTCTGTGTAGATGCGACTTTGCGTCTTGAGCGGCAAGGGATCTTTGAAGCACCCCTTAGGAAGAAAACTCAGGGCCCTCATTCCACTTTTAAAATATGGTATACGTGAACAGTCATAGCCTCTCTCAAGAAGGGTGTCAGCGGATTGGGGCGAGATCAGATAATGTTAATGGACAAAACCGGATAAACCATGGACGCCCCTTATTTGCTCCCCTGAAATAAAGATGGGCTTGAAAAAGATTGTATGAGTGAATCGTATCAGTGTATTAACAAGGTTAAAACAAAACTATCAACAAGCAAATACCCAAAACCTTGAGTGTGGTAAGTCGTCCCCATGAAAGAAAAAGGTAACATCATCATAGAGGAAGAAGTCCCTCACGGCGGGTGAAGGAACCCCCTTGTCCTGGTAATCAACACGGCCCACACAGAATGCCCAAATCTGGGGTTTGTTTTGTACAAAATCCCCATATCCGGAAGTTAGGTAATGGAATGGGGGTTACTCGAGTAATTCTGAGCCTACGGAATTGTCGATGAGCCCAAGCAGTTCGCTGTCTCTTCCTCAGCTAACTAATTCTACAGACATGCTGCTGGATGTGTGCGGGGTCAGGACTCCTCACATTTCCCATAAGTAGCGTGAATTTCCCGAATGAATGGAGAGAGCAGGGAAAACATGGAGGAACGAAAGTAAAGTTAAACTTTCGTCCAGATGGAGGGAAAAGGAAATTGCATGTGAGTATGGGGAAATTTGAGACAATTATGTACAACAACCCGTCTTACTGGCTAAATGCGTTCTATGTTGAGCTTGCAATGTCACAGTTTGGAAAGGTTGTTCACTTGGAAAATATACCGCGTGACCCCTAAAACCACCCCACCACAATTACGACAATTATGATGGTGATGTCCACCAGGGTGTTATCACCTTCAGTTACTAGTGCCCGTTAATATGGTTCGGGAAGCAATAATTTTTTCCGTGCACATAATTTGAGAAAAGTGCACCAAATAAACTATTCCCAGCAATACCAACCAGAATCAAAGGTTGCTGATTCCGCATTCATCCGGGGAAAAATGACTGTTAAACACACTGCATGCCTGCATCACTTACAAAGTACAGCCACACGAAAATAACAGAAAACATATTTCAAATTTATCACAATGGTGGCTAATGGCTTAAGTTCGTGCTAGCCATCTTTAAGATAGGAAATTTCCACGAATTGAAGTCCTTTCCAGTTTGGTAGTTTTAATGCATTAAAAAAATATTCATTGGCGCAGACACGAATGCAAATTCAAGGTCTTGTTAGCGTCAAATGCGAGCGCGGATCATCGGGGGTACAGTTCACCGAACGGGTTGACCGTACGTTGATGAATAAATCGTTTTGGCCATTCTTGAAATTTTTGATGTTGTTATGATGGTGTATTTATTCGATACAATGAACGATGTTATCGAATGTGTACTCCATTTTCATTCCTGGTGTGAGAGTTTTAAGGGTTTACTAATCAGCCTGACAACACTATCGACGATCTGTCAATGATTTATAGACATAACCAATATAGTAACCTTTTCGAATCAATCTGCCCCTTGGTGTTGTTCTTATCTCGGTGGTCGATCACCCGAGTAAATAAGCCACCGGTGGCTGTAGTTCGGCCTAAAAAACCCCGATATATTGAATAGTGGTGCATTCAGACAAATCAGTTTTGAAGATGAATCTCCAGATAGGGCTCAAACGTTCAGTCTATTCTGTCTTCTACCTTTTCAGAAAGATTTTATGGAACAAATATTATATTTGGCTTGTATCCATAAGACAGCAGTGGTAATAACATTGCAAGACCCTGCCACTTTTAGGTGCCCTTGACCAGCGGTGGTCATGTTTTCATTTGGACCTTGATAATCGATCTGTGCGCGAAATAACTTTTGTTTGGAACGGCGGCCAACATTACTTTTGGCTCACTAGATCCCAACATTCACCATAATGTGAAAAATACCAAACATTGAACGCAAACAAACGGTTCAGGTGATGACGAATGGCTGAAATGTTAAACGCAGCGTTGCAGCAGGATACACAGAAAGTGTTAGTGATCACTAGTCGATTCCTCTATCCTCGCTTCATTAGTGTTAAGTCACGCCACAGTGCGCCAAGGCAGACTTAACCTAATGTTGCACAGGCAGTTCGTTGGTCTCTGTTGAGGCCTTTGTCTGTGCTCTCAACAACACTTTCCGCGAAAGCAATACTGATAAATATCTGTCTCAATCTTCGCTCACAGGAAGCGAGAAAACAGCACTTGAACGTACCCAGAATTCGATCCTCCGTTTGACCTCGGAACTGATAAATTTACGCCATGGCAGTCTGCACAATTTTGCAAGCCATTTCAGCTTAGCCTGTTAAGGAGCCGAAACAACCATATTCTTATCAACAAGTTAATGAGAGTGTATCACTTCCAAAGAACAACATTCGACGAGGCCACGGTTATTCCACTCCCCAATGTGAAGCGAATTAGAGGTTTTCTCCAGGTGAGTTGTTTTAAGTATACTGGCAACAAAAGTGGCCGGTATACAAATGTTAGGAGCACCAGTCGTGGCCTAGGGAGTAAAACTTGACGTTTCCTGTCATCATTAGATCACCACTTCTTGAGAAATCATAATGGACAACCTTAAGGACGAAGCAACCTCTACGGATCCCCTCGATGATAGTGGTTCTCAGAAAAATAGCATGAGGAAAGGTCAAAAAGATGGCGGTTTTTCCGGCTTGTTCAAGCAAAATTTGAGTAAACTTCACTCTAAATCTGGTTTTAGTGAATATTTAGTGTGAAAGCATTGAGAACGAAATAAACTAAAATACCCAGAAGCCGTACTGTAGATTTTGACAAGACCCAACCCGGGATTTGGATGTTGCCTGTGAAGAACTAGTTCACAAAGGGTCCGACTTCGTGTTTGGGTGTCCGGATAATAATGAGTATGGGGCAGAGACGGAACTTACCCTGTCAAACGCCGAACCCGACGGTTGAAGACACAGAACTACCTTAGCTTGGTAGTGTATTTGCTGCATTTCTGTGGTGACTCACAGAATGCACTACAGCTAAAGGTTAAGTTATATTACTGACATATCTTCCACGATTAAAATGGCATACCACTTGACTTTAGTTTGTAAATAGACACCGAATCTTTGTTTAGATGAGATCTGGGGACTTCTATCAGTTTCCCATCTCTAAACGGAGAGGCACAATGGTTCTTCAGGTCCGTTTGGCTTATCTAGAATGTCTCACAAAAGCAGACTTGTTGTTTGGTCCTCCACTTCCCGAAATAGCCCTCATTGTTTTTTTACTTTTCCGGTGGGGTAGAGCTTGAATCTGATGTAACGCTTTAGATAAAATTAACTCAGGTAGTTTGCGATGTTTGCTTAGTAGGAGCGGGTCAAATGTTGGAANNNGCAGACATGTTGTTTGGTCCTCCACTTCCCGAAATAGCCCTCATTGTTTTTTTTACTTTTCCGGTGGGGTAGAGCTTGAATCTGATGTAACGCTTTAGATAAAACTACCTCAGGTAGTTTGCGATGTTTACTTAGTAGGAGCGGTTCAAATGTTGGAAAAGGTATGCGAAATAAAGAAATGCTAGTGGTTTGCACACAAGTTCACTTTTTGAGATAAAGGTTATTAATCAGTGCCACTAAAAGTAAGTCGAACCCACCATGTTTACCATGCTTACCAGAATTTTTTAGGATAATTTTTCGTCGTGCCGTTAGCTGACGTCGGACTCTTTTGACACACCAATTTAGCTTCTTTATTGAAGAGGATGATCGCTGGGTTTGTGTTTTAAATTTATGTAGTAGTAAATGACTGCCTTCCTGATTCTCGCTCGTCTGCTTTTGCAGCGTTAAATTGGAGTTCAAGACGTTGGAGCATATACGGTACAGCAGTTTGTGCAGCCGGGCTGTGTCGGTAAAATATCAGATCAGATAGTAAACCGTGGGGGTTTCAGAAAGCTGGGTTCATCTCAGACTAGAAGCGGGTACGACCTTAACTAGGTCAGTTTGTGACAGATTTTTAATTTGAAAAATAACCTGGATTGTATGGTGTATTGCAATAAGCAGTCTCACTACAGGTAGTGTAGGTTATCTCTCATTTCTTATACGGAAACTAGCAGTTTTTCCAGCGGGACAAAAAATCTGCCGCCGATGGAATTGGTTTTATTCGGTGTCCTGTGTGCTTGCTTTGACCGCTGAAAAGACACAGGCTGGAAGGGACTTATTCCATCTAGACTCATCATTGTCTTTGTAGTTGTATAGTCACCCGAACAAACATCAACTTACACAGTGCCCACAATCATACTTAATTTGTACCGAACGAGGATGGAAAAATTTGAGTATCTTCATGAGTATTTTGTTAGTCTGTAATGAGACCTATATGAACTCTTACTTGCCGTAGTCATAATGGTATCCAATAGATCAGCGGTTTCTTACACGGTTTTTATTTAAAATTACCTTTCATGTTGCCACAGAAGAAATTTGTACGCACAAAACACGTGCCAAATTTATCTTGGTATGAGGATAGGTTTCGTTAGATAGATGTGGATACAGTTCAGGGAAAGAAAGTTTCTGCAATACTTTCCTTCGGCTACAAAGTTTGCGTATTGAGAGTGAAAATATGACCGTCTTTGTCTATTAGAAAATAAGGATTCTTATTCGCAAAGCCATAAATGTTTGGTACATGCGCTTCCGACTTCTGGTCTTGTGTTCCTCTAGCGCAGAGTTTACAGTTGAATAAAACCGCATGTAAATTTGCTGACATACATTTATCAAAGTTTGGTGAATGTTATTGCAAACGTTTGGTCCTGCTGTTTCACTCCGAAGTAGACACAGAACCACCCCAAATGCTGTGAAAAAATTGATGGTTTGGTTCGAAAAGAGCAGTTAACATGGCTACACAATAGCAACCGTTTACCTTTGGCTGACAAGGGCACTCATTTTGATGTGTTCATGTTAAATGGAGTTCATGGTGGCAGCAGTACAGTTAAATAACAGTGATGCTCCTCATATTGAGACATGTTTTAATTCGTAGCTGTTATGCCACCTAAAGGAAGCATGAGAGCTGAGCTGCTTTCAGACTGCTTAATCCCAGACAGGAGCAGGTGAGATGCTGAGGCTGTTTTCGAACCACGGACCTTTCGATCAGTAGGTTCTCATCTTAACCGCGCAGCTATCTTGCTTCCATAGTACTTCAAACTTATAGAATCACGTTTCGATTAACAACTCATGCCTTTGGCTGACAAAACTAGTGGGAGTGAAAATCAGCATGGCAGAATATTCGTTTTTGCCATAAAATGCATTAGAAAGTATAACAATATTCAAGTCCATTATCTGGTATGTTGGTCAGGTAACGATTCCACCAAAATCGTTGTGATAGTTGAAACTAACTCTTTGTTTCCTATCCAAATAAATCGTGGCACAGAAGAGACTGAGCATTTTTACTTTAAATAAGCTAGGAGTTTATCTCTTGTCTATTCTTGACCAAAAATGCATCTTCAATCTGTTATGTAATTGTTTCGTTTCATAAAATATCAGTAGCATTATAACGATGCCGTATTTCTCGGTTTAAGAATGTAGCTAAAATTGCTTCAAAGTCTTGACTGAAAAAACCAGTTGGATTACAACCAGGAATGCCCTATTTTTGGCCAAATTAGCATAGTTGCCTTGGCCTTCAAACATACTTTTGGCATATTTCGGCCCGCTTGTTTTTTATTTGACTTTATTCAAATGATAAGGCGCTGGTAGTGGCTGCCGAAAAGCAATTGGATCATAATCATACTTATGTAATGCTTTTACAGGGTTTCTAGGTTGGAGGCCTACTCTTGGCTTCTGAGTTTTATTTATAGGTCACATTCTCCAGTGGAGAATGGCTGGCAATTTCCGAATTGCTCACTGGGGATTTATTTTTCCTGGGGCATTGTTCATATTTCAAGGGGCCGGTTGTGATTGGCTGTCTGTCTGTGATTCTGGACAGTCCTGGCCTTCCTTAGCCTGTGGATGCTATTGTTCACCGACGTGGTTCATTCAATCTTGTTTGGTGCAACCTCTTTTACGAAGTGGCCACTCGGTTTTCGTGTCATGAACTCTAGTGCAATATTTTCTCCGGTTATTAAGATGTTGACAGAATTTGGTGGTATTCAGGTTGGCACCTGAAATATAGGCGGGCGTAGCTTCCAATATTACAATTGTACATAGGATGGTGTGTGGCGTGTGTGAGTGTATGTCTGCGACACTCAACAGAAAGTCTCTTCCTACGAACCGTTACATATCCAGAATTTTTTTATGCTGCAACCATTTGATCTAAATGGTTTGGTCTCCAGCCAAAAGATTTTAC